TTGTTTTCATCCTCTTTCTCACAGGGTAAACACAAGCCACTAAGTGTGAAGATTAAAATTCTTACCCAGTAGGCACCTGGGCATTATGAAAAGTCACAACAGAACAAAGGAAGGCAGTGCCCATCAGTGAAGTCTCCCTCACAAATCTCAGAAGGTATTAACACACGAACCAAGGCTGACACATTTACTGTTTAAGGCCAGAGGATCTTTGAGATGCTACCAATTCAGTATAAGAGTGGAGTATCTGAAGAGCCAAAATGTGTGATTATCTTTTAATTGGGTTGTTTAAGCCATTTACATTTAATATGAATACAGCTGTGGTTGGGTTTAAATCTATCATCTTGTTATTTGTTTTCCATTTGTTCCTTATATTCTTTGTTTCCCTTTTCTTCTTTTCTATTTTTGTATTCTATTTTGGATTGGGTATTTTAAAAAATAAATCCATTTTATCTCCTTTTTTGGTTTATTAGTTGTAACTCTTTGTTGTATTAACTTAGGAATTGCTTTAGGCTTTGGAGCATACAACTTTAACTTATCACAGTCTGCCTTCAAGTGATATGTTAAAAGTTCACATATAATATAAGAATCCAACAGTATACTTCTATTTTTACCCTCTTGGCCTTTGTGCTACTGTTGTCACCCATTTTACTTCCACATGTCATAAGCCTTATACATTGTTATTTTTGTTTAAACAGTTATCTTCTTTTTTTTTTTTTCCTTTTTGTCTTTTTTCGTGACCGGCAACGGATCGCAACCCTCAGTGTCGCGCCCGTACCGGACTGGGACCGGCAACAGGATCGCAACGCTCGGCGTTGCACCCGCACCTCACTCAGCCAGTGAGCGGCCAGTCTGTATGTGGGATCCGAACCCTCGGCGGGAGCGCCGCCGCGCTCCCAAGCGGCGCACTGTAGCAGTGCGCCACTGGGCCGGCCCTAAACAGTTATCTTCTAAAGAGATTTTATTAAAAGGACAAAAATCTTTTATATCTACCCACATGGTTATCATTTCCAGTGCTTTTTTGGGTGTCTGGTATCATTTTCCTTCTCCTGAAAGATTTCCTTTAACATTTCTTATAATACAGGTCTGCTGGTGATGAATTTTTCATCTTTTGTACATCTGAAAAATTCTTCATTTTGTTTTCATTTTTGAAAAATATTTTCACTGGGTATAGAATTCCAAGTTGACAGTTTTCTTTCTCTTTCAGTATTTTAAAGATGTTGCCCCACTTTCTTCTAGCTAACACTGTTCCCAATGAGAAATCTGCTGTAACTCTTATTTTTGTTCCTCTGTATATAATGTCTCTTTTTATCTCCAGCTTTTTTAAAGAATTTTATTACTGGCTTTAAACAAATTGATTATGATGTACCTTGGCATAATTTTCTTCATGTTGCTTATACTTGGGTTCATTGATTATGAATCTGCAGGTTTACAGTTTTCATCAAATTTGAAAATTTGGGGGCCATTATTTCTTCAAATATTTTTTGCCCTCCCTTCCTTCAGTACTCCAATTATCCTCCTTGGATTAGGCCACTTGAAGTTACCCATCATTTTACTGATGCTTTCTTCATTTTTTAAAGTCTTTTTTTTCCCTGTGTTCAATTTCAGATAATTTCTATTGCCGTGTATTCAAGTTCTTTAAGTTTTTCTTCTGCAATGTGTAAGTCTGCTATTAATCTCATCCAAGGTATTTTCCTCCTAAAAAGTTGTCCTTTTTGTCTCTAGAAGTTCAATTTGGGTCTTTTTTAAAAAAAAAATATTCTATGTCTTCATTTAATATGCTCAGTTGTTCCACTCACTTCTTGAACATAGACAATACAGTTATACCTGTTTTAGTGTCCTTCTTTACTACCATTTGTGCCATTTCTGAGCAGGTTTCCATTGATCGATTCTTTTCTTTGTTGTGGGTCTTATTTTCCTGCTTCTTTACAAGGCAAGTAATTTTTTATTAGATGCCAAGCATTGTGAAGTTTACCTTGTTGGGAGCAGGATACTTTTGTATTCCTATAAGTATTCTTGATCTTTTTTTCTGGGAGGTTATAAAGCTCCTTGGGAACAATATGAGCCTTTTGGGTCCTGCTTTTAAGCTTTGTCAGGTGGGACCAGAGAAGGGTGTTTCTAGAGCTAACTACTCCCCATTACTCAGTCAAATCCTTCTGAGGACTCCACCTGATGCCCCGTGAAATATAAGGTTTTCCATTCTGCCTGTGGGGAACAGAAACTATTTCCAGCCCTATGTGAGCTCCAGGGATTGTTCTCTGAAGCTCTCTGTCTCTGTACATTTCTTTCTTCTTCAGTACTCTTTTCTATAAATTCTAGCTGCCTATAAATTCCTGGATCTCCCTGAACTCTGAACTTTTTCTCCTCAACTCAGAGAGCTCCACCAGACTCTAGTTCAGTATCTTCTCCCTGGACTACAGCCTGGAAATTCTCTGTAGGTAGTATGGGGGGCAAATCATATGGTTCATTTGTTTGTTTCTCTTCTTTCTAAAAGTGCTGTCTTGTGCTACTTGTTGTGTAATTTTTGAAAACTGCTGTTTAATATAATTTATACTTTTTTAGTTGTTCAAGGTGGGAACTTAAATCCAATCCATTATCCTATCATGGCCAGAAGTAGAAGTTCCTAAATCCTTTTGACACAATCTCATTGGCCTTTGAAAGCTTCCCTGCATTCTGGCCCAACAAGATATCCAGGTTTATCTTGTACATCTATCTCTACTGTAGGCCTAGAATCAGCCATTTTTCCTTTTTAATGAGCAATGGTATTTAAAGAACACATTCTGGGTACTAGGAGTGTTCATTACTTTATTGTCATTGCCTGTAGGTATATTTTTATATATTTTTTTAAAATTTATAAAGAACAGAGGTTTATTTGGCTTATGATCCTGGGACAGCTGCATCTGGCACGGGCCTCAAGCCGCTTCTACTCATGGTGGAAAGTGGTAGGCAGCGGGCAGGAACAAGCAGATCACATGGCGAGAGGAAGCAAGAGACTAAATATTTTGGAAGTCAAAAAAATTGTGGATTCACGCTGGTATTCTCAGTTTTACTTTAATATCACTTTTTTTAAAATTTGTATTTCCTTGCATTTATACTCATTGTCTATCTGGTGCTGAAAATTTTGGTTCCTAACAATGTTAACATAATTACTTATTTGTTATTGTATTCTTTGATTCTACAATTTCTGTTTGGTTCTTGTTAAAAGTTATGTCACATTTTATAGTTTTCAGTTTCCTAGTAAAATTTGCAAGCTTGGCTTTCATTTTCATAAACATAGGAAGAATAATTTTTTGTTTTTGAGATCACTATCTTATATCACCAATATCTGGGTCCTAGCAGGTGTTTCTGTTGCCTTTGTTTTTGCTAGCTCTTGTTCATGTTACCTTGTCCTCTCTTATACCTGGTTATTTGTGAGGATGTGTGCATGTGTGCAGATGTACTGCTGGACACTATTTGAAAAAGTGTTAAATAATTTGAAGCATAAGATGCAGTTATTTTCCTCCAGAAATAATTTTTATTTTCTTCTACAAGGGAGCTGGCAGAATTAGCAATCTAGAATAATTCTAATTTAATTTCAAAGTTTAAGATTTCATGGCCTGCCTAGATGAACAAAAAACAAATGTGGGCCATGTGAAAGATGGTTTATTTCAGGTTCACCTTCCTCCCTAAAATGTAGCCTTTAAGTTATCCCTGTCCAAAACAAGAGGTGTTTTTAACATCACCACCAAGATCAGCAGGCCCTGGACTCTTTGGCCTTTTTTTGTACTGCGTTGATTGAGAAGTACGTCTTAGCCTCTCAGGCTTAAATTTGCAAATAATCCCAGGGCAAAAACAGCCCCCAATGCTAGGCTCAGCTCTCTTTAATCCCATTCTCTCTTAAAACATGGCCCAGAAATTCCTCCACTTCACTAGCAATTTGATGCTTTTATGATGTTTTAGTATTTCATCCAGCCTTTGTCTTCAGTGAGAGGGCTGGTCTAAATTACCTAGTTTGCCGTTTTCAGAAACTGAAATCCCAGCTGTTTTTACAGCTAGCTCTTTCTTCATTAAAACATCACCTCCTCACAGAGAGTAGAATAGTGGTTAGCAGAGACTAGGGAGGGGTGGAGGAAGGAAAAACAGGGAGAGGCTGACCAACAGGTACAAAAGTACAATTAGATAGGAGGAATCAGTTATGCTGTTCTATTGCACATAGGGTGTCTCTGGTTAACAGTTAAGTTTTGTATATTCCATAATAGCTAGAGGAGAGGCTATTGAATGTTTTCACCACAAAGAAATGATAAATGCACAAGGTGATGGTTACATTAACTGTACTGACCCGATCATTATACTAGGTATATATGTATCAAAACATCTTATACATTTATATGTGCAAGTGTGTCAATTAAAATAAATACATATTTTTTAAAAATCACCTCTACTGAGTTTTTCCTGACCATATTTAAAATAACATCTCCATCGTTATTTCTTCACCTACTTTATCTTCACTGCACTTATCACTACCTAATATCTATTTATTTGTTAAATTTTCTCACTAAAATGTAAACTCTGAGAGAACAGAAAATTTGTGTTTTATTCATTCTAGAGAATGGAATGAGGAGAAAGAAACTTTATACTCTTTATTTTATACTCTTCAGTACTATCTAGATATTAAGAAAAAGCATGTTTTAAAATATAAAATATCCATCCATACATACTCTTTACCACTCTCCTGTTCCTTCTCCCTAAAAGATATTCTCAGCTGACATGTATCATACCATGCCTCTTCTGTTCTTATTCTTTATACTCTATAACTTCATTTACTCCTACAGCTTCATACATATAATAATAATCGTTTATTAAAAAGTAAATAATATTTATTGGGTGCTTATTATGTGTCAGTATGCTAGGAGCTTCACACAGATTATCATAGTTAATTTTAAAAAACAAACCCCAAAAGGAGAAAAAAAAATCCTTGCGAGGGAGAATAAACAAATCTATGAGGTAGATATTACTATCCCCATTTTATTTTTCTTTACATTGATAAGTATATATCTGTTTAATTAATTACAATGTCAGTTACACATGTATATAAAAAAAGCAAAATGACAAGAAGAGGTTTTCATGGAAGATGGTGAGTTGCCCTGGATTCTGCTTCTCTTGATTTTCTGAGCAGGGCTTGTTTGAGGGTGCTAATTTTCTCGTTAAGTTCAACTAGTGAATAGTTCTGTTCAGGTGGTTGAACTTTTCTTCTTTTTCCAGAAAAGTTTATAGATTGAAAATATTCAGGAGAAATGCCTTCCAATTCAAGGATTTTATCCTCAAGATTTTTCATTCTCTGATAAGTATCTCTTGGCACTGGAGTACCTGTTTGCAACTCAAGTGAGACTCAATATTTTGTAGTTGTTCTTCTACAGCCTGATTACCACAATCTTGAAGCATGCTGTTAGGTTTATGACCTGACCCTTGAATTCCTTCAGGTCTAGACTGTGGTCCACCTGTATTCACAACTCTAGAAACCTTTACGTGACTTTCAAGTTCAGGGTAAGGGGTAAAAACAGCATCAGTTCTTACACAACTATTTTCTTGATTACCATCAATAACATTGCAAAATTCTATGACATTGTTTTTACTGATTTTGGCTTTCTTTCTTTCAATAAATGCAGGTATTTCTCTGTCAATTTCTGCTTTTCCAGCCTTTATTTGAACTATTTCTGGATCAAAATGGATCTGTTTCTTTTTCACATCTCCTAAATCACAATCTTCGTGCTTTTCTTCCTCTTGTAGGTCGCCATTGGGAAATGTGGCATTTAATTCACTCTTGTTCCCCGTTTCTGTTTTTCCTGTCTCTTCAATGGCAGTTGTAGTCTCCTTTTTAATCAGAGGCTGGAGTTTTGCTAGAAAAGGCTGTAAATATAAAACATGTTGCTCAAGTGCATTAAGGAGCAATGCAGGCTGGAATGCCAAGAGGCTGTGGAGCTTGTTCCAATCGATGACAGTTTTCACCACATCATCTCTGAGGCTAAGTTTCAAAGGGGCAAACCAGCAACATCACAAAAATTACAAAATTAAGCTCTCCAGGCAGGGTTTGCAGGAAGCAAAAGATTTTGCAAAGCATCTCTTGAGAGAGGTTGGGGCTGCAGCTTTGCTCCAGCACCACATCATCTCTGAGGCTAAGTTTCAAAGGGGCAAACCAGCAACATCACAAAAATTACACAATTAAGTTCTCCAGCCAGGGTTTGCAGGAAGCAAAAGATTTTGCAAAGCATCTCTTGAGAGAGGTTGGGGCTGCAGCTTTGCTCCAGGCTTCTGTCACCGCTGCTCGGGCGTCTAAGCTTGGTGGCAGCAGCCATGACACCTTCGCAGGCTGCCCCTGCCACCACTGAGGTGCACGCACAAACCCCTATTATCCCCATTTTAAAGCTGAGGAAGTCAAGGCTTAGGCTGGTTAAGTAAACTGCCTACATTTATACAGCTAATTAGTGGTGGATCCAGCATTTACACTCCTGTGCCATGCTCTATCCATGCCCACCACATTTTAAATTCAGGCACTCATTATCTCTTAACCCAGTTCATTTACTTAGTAATTACTAACTTCTCTCTCCCATCTATCCTTTACAATGCTGCTAAAGACTCCTTCCAAAACATTTATTGGTTTCCCACTATACAGAAAATAAAATTCACACTCCTTAGCATGGCACTCAAGATCTATCATATTCAACCACAAACTACTATTTCAGCCTCATCTCTCCCTTTTGCACCATTCATTCCATGCTTCAGTTATATTGGATTACATGAAAAATGTGTGGCCATGTGTCATGTTTCATAGTTTTCAGTTTCTGGAAAAATTTTCAAGCTTGGTTTTCATATTGGATTATATGTTTTCATACAAATTATACATTTTTCTGGATAAAGAATTCATCTACTAAAGACTTGCCTAAAATTGGGATATAAAAACCTATTTTCAAAAACAGAAATAATAAAATAAAAGGAAAGAAAAGAAAATAAGAAAAAAAATGGGCTGGTTAGCTCAGGCAGAGCATGTTGGTTGTTACAACACCAACAAACAAAAAATAAAAAATAAAATGCAGGAATTAATTTAAACAACAAAATTGGATGAAATTTGTCATCAAAAGGATATGGAAACTGAAGAAATCTTGTTCAGCTGGTTGGAAAAGACCTGTGGGCTGGGGCACAGAGCAGCAGCGGGAGTCAGTATCAGTTCTCCCAACAAGTCCACACCAGCCACGCCATCAGGGATGAAAAGCGTTACTGGATGTCCTAGCACAGGGTGGATTCTGCTGCACCGTGATTCAGTTGTGCCAAATTTTGGTCTACTGTCAGAAAACAGATAAGACAAATTTAATTTTTCCCTCTTAAGAAATTATTTAAAAGGGTATTCAAAATTCCTTTTGTAAGTTCTAGCTTACGCACAACCATATAACCCACCATATCAGTTTTTTTTGGAATAAGTAACTTGTGTGCCACTCAGGGAATCACAGCAATGGAAAAAGTAGAAAAATCAGCATTTATGGGATGGTATCATGGCTCCTGCTTTTGCTGCCACTGATGACAGTTTCTTATTCTCGAGTGTATTTCCTCCACTAAAATTGCTCTGTGGTTCTGAGCAGAAGTTTCCAAGATGATTCAAAGATCAGCATTGTGTGAGGGAGTCCATGAATCACAAATGGCCTAAAACTGGCCCTTTGATACTAAGAGGTCTGCCTCCACACATGCTGCACCTTCCCTTGCAGAAGTCTGAGGTCACTGTTTGACTGAAGCAATGAGAAAAAATGAGACCATCTTTCTCTCCTCGAAAGAATCTAATTGTGTTTGTTTACTTTCCAACAGCTCTTTTCTAAACAGAGAAGAAGTATTAATAAACCTTTTCCTCTGTCTCTAACCAGGTCACCCAGGGAAATATGCCTATAAACATTGGCTCAGAAGCTTAAGCTCTTGTCAGTAAAACTATGATAGGAGCTGTCTACCTGTAAGGACTGTATGATACTAGAGGATTACTAAAGAAAAATATAGTGGGGGTGGGGGGAAGGTTACCTGTATATTAAAGAATAAAAAATATTCTCATCTGAGGTATAATTTTGGGCAAGAGTAAAAGGCTAAAAAGCCATGGGCAGTCTCTTCAAGTCTTAAGATCCTGTGATTACTGGCGTTGACTCAGGGGAAGCTACTGAATAAACAATAAATTAGTTGAACACAAGCATACATTTGGTCTTTTCTTGATATAACTCATGTTCACTTTGGATTCTGTGGTAGCTGGATGGCATAGGAAGGCAAGGCAGAAGGATTCTGGCCATTCCATATTATTTACCACCTCCTCCATGGATTTTTTTTTTTTTTTTGAGTATGAAAAAGATGGATTTCCAAACCTGTGCAAAATGCTGATGCACAAAAAATAAAATTCAACAAATTCCTTTGTATTCATTGTATTTCTCTAGCCAAGAGTTCAAGTAAACTTTTAAATTCAGTCCTCTCTTCTCATGTCGAAATGGGACTGGAATTAGCAGGGTTTGTTTCATTTCATTTATAAAATAAAATAAGACATGGAAAGAAGAAGGAATATGACCTCAGGTCAATTAGAATATATTCAAGGAACCAGGAATAATAACAGTTATCAACATAAATAACTTATAAGTTTTACCTCCACTTTTCTTATAGAAAAGCACTTAGAAATGACGAGTGAAACCACTTCCAACTTCTACCCACATTCATACACATAACAGGAGAGTAAAACATGGAAAGCAGCAACAGTGCTTTCCCCCTTCACCTCACATAATGCTGATAGTTTACGACAAGAGCAATTCCATTCGACAGGTTCAAAGTGGGTTCATTCTCTATCCTGTAAAGCAAAGAAAAGCTAAGCTGTCTCTCAAAGATTCTAAAATCAATCTCTGCTTGATAAAAATTTTGACCCATGAATACTAACACCCCAGAGACTACTGAAATTCAGTAACCAATTAACCCATGGGGAAATGGCAATTTTTAAGTTCACCCCCATACATGAAAGGTTTAGATGAATCTACTTCTCATTAAAAGCTAATACAGAATAAGAAAATGTGAGGGTCTCAGGAAATTAGTTTCAAGGTGACTGGCTAAAAAAATCAAACTGTGAACCTACTGGAAATAGGACAATAATGGCCAAGAAAAATTGCAGAGCCGTGGCATCATCTTAATGAATTTAAGGACTTACCCAAAGATCTCTGTGGAGAGAATTCCATTTACCTTTACATTGAAATTAAATCTGATCTGCAAAACAACAAATGAGGTGTGAGATTTAACATGAGCTAGGATAGAGATAAAAAAACTTCCATACTCAATCCCTAAAGGAAAAGGATATTTTAAAAAAAATTTTTTTTAGTTAGTATTATTTTTAATTGACAAATTATTTTTAATTTTATTTTTATTTTGTATACAATTATCAATAAAAATAATTGTATACATTAATGAGGCAAAATGATATATATATATATATATACATATATATATACACACACACACACATACACACACACACACACATACAGACACACAATGTGGAACGATTAAATCAAGCAGATTAACATATCCATCACCTAATTTACTTATTTTTTGTGGTGAGACATTTAAAATTTACTCTCTTTTCTATTTTGAAATATATAATACATTATTATGGACTGTAGTCACCCTGCTGTAAAAGAGATCTCAAAAAATGATTCCTCTTATTGAACTGGAACTTTGTACCCTCTGACCAACAACTCCCCTTTCCTTCTCTCCCCCACTTGCCCCAGCCTCCGGTAACACCCTTCTATTCCCTACTTCTATGATTTTGACTTTTTTGGATGCCACGTATAAGTGAGATCATGTGGTATTTGTCTTTCTATGCCTGGCTTATTTGAATGGATAAAGAAAACATGGTTTATATACACAATGGAATACTATTCAACCTTCAAAAAGAAGGAAATCCTGTCATTTGCAACAACATGTATGAACCTGGAGGAGAAGGATGTTCTTTATCACCTTTTTCACTTGCATTTTCCCAAAACATACTTAATATTTTCCTGTGCTCAAATTCTGAATCCTAAATATACTGATTCCTATGCTAAACAATTCCAGGGTAGTCTCAAATTATCAGGGAATCCTGTCCCTTTGCCATTCTCCCAACCTATCCCTTCCCCTCTTTTTAAAGGAACTATCAGTTTTTATTTCTATGATCTTCATACATGGAACATTCCATGCTTTTTTCTTTGCCTTTTCTTCCCCTGACCCCATCTGATTTTTATAACCTCTCCAATTTATATCACTGCTTTATATTCCTTACCTTCAACAACATTTTTCTTTCTATGTAATGTGAGGAAACAAGGGACTCTTAAAGATTGGGACTCTTAAACAAAGGGACTCTTAGATTGTTTGAGTTCAAATCCTGACTCTGCAACTTATTTAACCTCTGTACCATACTTTTCTCAGCTATAAAATGGGGATAGTAATGATAAAACCTACTATGAGAGGAGTGTTGTGAGCGTTAAATGAATGAGTACATGAAAAGCACTTAGAATAGGGACTGGTGGGCTGGCCGGTTAGCTCAGTTGGTTAGAACACTGCCTTATAATACCAAGATCAAGGGTTCGGTACTGGCCAGCTGCTAAAAGGAAAAAAAAAGTGACTGACAACCAATAAACATTTAAATCCTACTGAAGACAGGAAAAGTAGAAAGACAGCATAAGAAAAGGGGGAAGTTATATGACACACTTAACTATGTTCATCTTTATAAACATACCTAACCACAGATAATAATGAAAATTTTAGTTTTTCAGTGTTCAAAATATTCTATGAAAATTTCCTTATTTGCTCTTACAGTCATTTTAGAAAAGAAGGAGATTGTCAGCAAGGTTTATTATCGAGGCCTAACACAAAAATGAAGCACAGAGGAGGGAAAACAGGTGTCCAAAGTGATACAATAAAGCAGCAAGCAACTGAAAATAAAAAACCCAAAAGAAAGCTCCCTCTATATCCAGTGGCTTCTCAGCCGTGTCACATGACCAACATTAAAATTGTCTTAAGAATACAGAAATTAAATCAATTTAATATTAAAGGTTTTAATCCTCTTCATTAAAAGAAAGACAACCAATTATATCCTTTCATGTCCCACAGAGTAGAGGCCTCTTGAAAACATATGACTTAAACAAGAGAAGCATTATTGTACAAAAGAACAGCTTACCTTAGGGTGCACCATGATGATTTTGCGTAAAAAATTCTTTATAACCTGACAATCTGTCATCAAAGTTCTGGGCTTTTCATCAACCTGTAACAATACAACCAAAACACCCACCATACAACACAAACCCAAGAGCACAAATGGATGAAATTATAATATTTCTTTCTACAAAAGTAAAATAACTACCTCAGAAAGCTTTTTGGTCATCCAAGTGGAAACATCTTTGAGAATGAGACTTGTACACAAAAGGGGATCTAAATAGC